ATAGCTTGGTGTGCATTAGCAACACATTCTTTTTGTAAGAGAAGAGAGCAAAACCTTTATCCAGAAGGTTGTACGATCATAGTCCGGCACAAGCAGTCTCTGATAGCTCTGTTAAGTTGTAAGGGTTATTTTTGAGAGTGAATGTGCATGACTGGAGTGAAATGAAGTGCCATTAGTAATGCCCCTTTTATAAAAACTTTAGCCTGCAACAAGGTGATCCTGAGTTAACTGTGCTTATGTCTGAACTCTTCCTGTGATTTCATTTCAGATTCCAGCGGGGCGACTACCACATTGATGTCTGCATCAATGACTACCTGGATGTGTTCTGCCCTCACTATGAAGACTCAGTGCCAGAAGATAAGACCGAACGCTATGTTCTGTACATGGTGAACTTTGATGGCTACAGCTCCTGCGATCACACCTCCAAAGGGTTCAAGAGGTGGGAGTGTAATCGGCCGCATTCCCCGAATGGACCATTGAAGTTCTCGGAAAAGTTCCAGCTCTTCACGCCCTTCTCGCTAGGATTTGAATTCAGGCCAGGCCGGGAATATTTCTACATCTGTGAGTATATAGAGATTTACCCGTGTTGCACAGCAGGTTCAAGAAACCCAGCTAATTTTTCACCTATCCTCTGTGGAAATACAGAAGGCCAAACGGTATATAATGCAGATGCCTTACAGTGAAAGCAGGCTTAACTATCCCCAGATACATTAGCTAGGAATCTAGCTAGTGAAAATGAGATTAAATCACAGCTTCTTTTCTCACATGAAATAGCATGTCAGCTTGTTCACTGAACCGTGGCTGACTTTTAAAGCAAAACACACTATTAGTTTATTCCAGCACTCTGAGGTGGAGGAGGGGGCAAGAAGGGCAGGATGGAAACTATCCCCAAATATGAGGAAAAATAATTAATCCTTTGCATGTGAAATTTGTGGATTTTCTTATTTGCTGAGGTGAAATAGTCTTGTCTCTGTAATATTTATCCCCCAAGGAAGGTGAGGTCTGTGTAGTTTGTAAGTGGTATGGCTGCTGATGTTGAGTAGTCAGTGGTATTACTTAAAGTTGTAATTTCTTAGGGTAGGTACTTCTAGCGTCAAGTCAAATGGCTCTCTTTTTCTTCCTTCCTTTTTTCCCCCACTTTTTCTTGGATGAGCTTTTTCTATCAGCGCAGGTGATGTGGGGTGCTGTGGGAGCAGGGGGCAAGCAGGGGAGTGTGAATGAGCTCACATAGCTTCGTGCCCATTCCCCGAAGGAATGGGGAGCACCCTCCCAGAGCTCTGCGCTCTCCTCCACGGAGGCCTGTGTCAGGGCTGCTCTGGGCAGCCAGAGGAAATGCAGGATAGTGTCTGAGGGTAAGGAAGTAAAAAAGTCAGGAGGTTAAAAACCAGTGGGTTAAGCAAACTGATTCCCTGACCCCACTGTTAAGTTGATACTGCTTCAGCTGTCTCGTTTGTTCAATCCTCCAACAAAGATCTTATTTCATCAATTTGTTTTGTACCTGAATCTTCCACTCCTAACAAGTTTTGACTGCTCCAACAATACATGTTTTTGTTCTGTTTTTAGTGTTAGACTAGAGAGTTGAAAGCTTTAGACAGTCTGTAGATCCCAATAAATATTGCCTTCATATGTGTAGCTGGCCTTTCTGCTGTGAAGCAGTCATTCCACCTCATTTCACCAGAGAAACTGAGTATGTATGATGCCTGTTTTTCAGCCTCATTTCTTCAGCATTGAAATTTTTCTTTTCCCTTTCTTAATCTACAGGGAAATACATTCCGAGTGGAAAGTTTTCCACTCATTCCTTTTTCTTCCAGCAAATAAAAACCTCTAATGAGTGGTGGTTCAGCATCAGAAGAACAATGCCTTGTCTTGTGCTGAAGCACTATAATAATAATCTACCAAAAATATTTTTAAAAAGCAAACTGTAATGTTACTTTAAACTGGTTTTTAATATGGTCATGAGAAATCATGTAAAGATATCAGAGCTAAGTGGAGAATGTTCTAGGATAAATAAATCTGCACTGTGTAGGCCCGGTCCTACTCGTTTCACTCACAAAAGCTTCCCATTAACTTCAACAGCAGTTTTGTGTCATTCAAAACTCTGATATCAGACTCCCTGGGAACACTGGAATTTGTTTTGTATTGTTTTGTTTTGGGGGGATTTGTTTGTTTTGGTTTTTTTATTCAGTTCCTGGGCATCATCAGTAAAACAAGCAGGAATACTTAAGCTAAGGAATGCAGTCTTTACCATCACATGATCGCAATAAAATGTAACACAGGGATGGCATCAGTAGCTGCAAGCATTTAAAGAAAACCTAAACAAACCATGAACAAACATTGGTTTTCTAAATTTTAAAAAACAAAGAAAGAGAAATGTTTAATAAAGGTGAAAACCAAACATGAAAGTGAAGGAAAAAAATATGAGAAATCTCAGCTTGGTCTATCTAGATAACAGCTTCATTGTTACAACATACAAAATCTATTGAACTCTTAAGCAAGACATTGTCATTCAAATACACCCAGGTTGCTTATGTCTGGTTTTCCTCATTTGTGGTTAAATTCAATATTTCACTAAAAATCATTATGTATCTTCTATAACATTCAATTGTCAAGGGCTCCCTTCAAAGTAATTGTTCCAAAGTGCTTTAAAATATGAAGAGCTTTATGATATTCAACTACATTTAGATGGAAATTTCTTTTTTAATGAAAGATAAAATAGGAAAAAAAAATAGCAGCAAAGAGATATTCATTTACTAGCAGCTTATTGGCCTGGTATTCACTGAAATTAAGTTTTTAGGCATGTTTCAGAGACACAAAGCATTTTTCCTCCTTTTCTGTACTTTAAGTATTTTTTTGCCTTCATCCTTTGCTCTGCTGAGGACAGTAACAAGGTTGGTTTGCAGCAGTTGCAGGGTAGCACTGTACACTAAGTTAACGATTATATGCAAACCTCGGGGGAGAGTTGTCCATCCTGGAATGTTTTTCTTTTAGTTTGCGGTGAAAAAACAAGATAGTGAAACGATGTTCCTTGTTTTCTCGTCAATTTTGTAAGCAGGCTCTAGTCCAGGCCATGGAGACTACCTTTGTTACAGTTCTGTATCCGCATGTTAAAGGAGCTACTGCTTTGCCGGAGAAGGTTTCCTTTCCTCAGCAGATCTGAAACTTTTGCCCACTCTGCAGAAGAGGGGGAAGGCTGACTATGTAGCATCACTCTGGTATACTCTGTTTAAGGGTTACAAAATATGTTGTGTAGTCTAGACCTCTGGAAAGACAGAAATACTAAGTGGTTGGTTAGGTATTTAGCTTAATTACTGTCTGATGCTTTTTTGTAAATTTTCACAGTTTACCTTTTAAGGATGTAACTTGCCTCTCTTGCTTCCATTATTTTCAGAAAATGCAATAGTTTGAGAACAATTACTGTCTCTTTCTGAACTGTTGGTTTAGAAAATGCCACTTTTCTTTGTTATGCCATTGTCTTCATATATTTCTCAGATGAACTTGGATCTCCCTTTGCATGGTCATTCTAGGAAGATACAAGAAAAAAACTGTATCTGTCTTTCTGATCTCAAATGTATGTTGAAGAAGTGAATTCAACATTGCAGACATGCAATCAGCAAGTATGGACTGAGTTTACTTCTGAAAGAAAAGGTTATTAAATATTTACAGAGAAATTAACTTTTATTTAGTTAGGGAGAGCACGGTGGGGGGGCTAGGGAAACTAAATAATAGATCATGACCTGAAGTCTCAATTTTTACTTAGTTCTTAGCAGATGTTCACCTCAGGTTGGTGTATGTTAGCCTGAGAACAGACCAAGTAGTATTACTACTGAAACAGAAGCAAATGAAATGTAGAGAAAGCAGAAACTAACTTAGTGATATGACTGTGATTTTAATGTCCTTTGGAAGGGAACCTGAGTTCTAGTGTACAGGTTAAGGTGGGGTGCTGTGCAAGGGGAGATGAACACAGAAGCAAGGAAGGGGAAAAAAAAAGATCCTAACAAGTATAACCTTATATAATGATGTAATTCAAAATGAGGGTATCATTTTTATTACTTTGACTTAATTACAAATTAAGGGGGGGGTATTTTTATTAATGTGCTAAATATTGAATAAAATATCAGTAACAATTTGGAAAATACTAAGAATTGACTAAAACACTTGTAACAACTTGGGAAATACACATCAGAGCTATTGAAATTTAAAAAATGAAGGCATGGCTAGAACCAGACTGGTACAGATTACTGCAGAATCCTGACCACAGTTTCTGAACCAAGATCCTGTGTCAATTTAAGCTAAACCACATCGCTCTTTTCTTGAAAGCAGTGTATCATTGGTGTAGTGTCAAAAGTTGTACTAATATTGAGCTGTAGCATATGCTTTTCTCTGAGCGATCAGTCCAGTTATTCCATCAAGGAATTCAGTATTTGATGTGATTTATCCTTAAGAAATCTATGCTGTTTTTATCATCTTATCCTCCAAGTTTTTGTATATATTACTTATTTAGTCATTTGATCACTGTGAATATTGTCATTTATATACGCTTATACCCTTTTCTTAGAAAGATCAGGTAGGATTGCTTTTCTTCACAGTCCTCCTGTTTTCCTGTTCTCTGCAAGATTTTGAAGGCTTTTGCTAGCAGTTAGCAGGCTTTACATGTGATGTAACTAAACATAACTTAAGTGGTTCTTTCTCCATTCTTATTGAGAAAAGAGCTCCTTTCATCTTTTAAAAATCCTGCTGTCTTACCTGTGGTTTATTTGTGTAACCTTTTTTGTTACTGTTTCTTTCTAGTTTTATCTCATTCATGTGTATTTCTGATTTTATTTCAAAGTGCTTATGCTGTTTCTTTGTATCACCTTTAATGATGTGTCATTATCACTGTATCTTTGTTGTCACCATTTATTTGCATGAAGCTTCAGATTGTCAATTCAGGAAGCTTTTGTTGTAACCATATTGCTCCTGACTACACCAGGATAGTATACTTTTATTATTTGAATTTAATTATGGTTATAAATAATATTTTAATTGTTCTTAAAGTTGTGATTAAATTAAGAAACTGAGTTTGTAAAGTTGTACTACACTTGAACATACACTTCTTAATAACATCCAGCTCACCTGTACTCCTTTTCTTCATAGAATATATTCCCAGGGAACCTACTGTTACCCATTCCTTTGATTTTCTTAATGTTTGCCTTTGTTCCCCACCATACTTGTTTCTCTGCACTAATTCCTTCTTTTCCTGAAATTTCCGAGTCTTGCATCCTGAGGGCTTTTATTCAAATGACATTCCACTCTGACGGTCTTAGCTGCTGCTTCTGTAGGAGACCTTGTGATTTTCATAGTTTCGAATATAAAATTGTCTCTCTTCTGTTAGCTGGTTCCATCTCTGTGACTGGAAGTTGTCCTCACCATGTTCCAAAAACTGTGGAACTGTCTGAATCCTGCTGTTATTTTTCTCTAACACCTGCCAGGACCATCACTCTGCAACCATCTGCACACTTCTGGAGGCTTCTCTGATTCAAAAGATCTTAAGGAAAAAACAGTAGTAGAGAAAAGTATTTATA